TTACAGTTTATTATTTAAAGCAGCAGTATACAGATAACTACTAAATATAGCCATTCGTGTCGTCGTGTCGTTTCATGTTTGGACCTTTCGAGCGATGTCACCAACGGTTCTAGAAACCAGTTGCATCTCCAGCTTCGAACAATCTCTGCAATGTCGACGCGGTCTCACAGGTAGCTGCTAATTTGCAATTAGTTGCGAATTCATATGCCGGATCGCGAAGTGCATCCTGCCTATCAGTGACTCGCATAAGCTGTCTCTGTTGCTCACTTTAAGACTGTGACTCTATCGAACTGTTTTCGGTTCATAGGCAACAGAGTTTTTAAGATATTTCATCACGTCAAATCGTGTCAACAATTAACTGAAAATTATTTATAACGTTTTCTTTTCATAAAACTGGTACAGTTTTTGTGCTTCAAACATTCTTCCCTGGTTCAGCCACAAATGTGCTCCCAAATGAACATAAACTTGTATACTTGCACCAGTCAAAGACATAAATGTCAAATCTGCCTAAAAATAAAAAACAAAACATTAAAGACACCAAAGATTGAATTGCTTATCACGATTTCTTTAAATTTATTTACAGGCATGCATCTGATGCTTTCCGGCTGATGTTTAAGAAACTCGTCTCATGCAGTCATCCATCACCAAAAAATTGGTTCATTTTGTTGACCTTTTTCGTACTACTTTGGTAATTTTTTGAGAAAGAAAAGAGTAAACCATGAAAAAACTAACTGTAAAAAAATAGTTGCGTGTAAAACCAAAAAGCTGTAAAATGTGACACGTCTAGTTCAAAGTACGGACTGATAAAACATTATACTCAGGTGTTGTCGAAAGAACATGAAATATACACCGTTGCAACACAAGTGCCACTTAAATAAAATGTTATTACTGACATTCAAAATACATTATATCGACAAGTGACACATACCTTCGTCGGATCTGTCAATCTGAGGATAGGGTCGTATTTCGTTCTGTTGGTCAATACTATTGATATAATAATTTTCTAATTGCTGTCGACATCACCCAGGGCGACGAGCTATTGATTTATTTATCTCAAGTATCCCGCCTCTCGAATAGTTTATTTATTTTTCTTAAAATCGTACATGCAAAAATGGTCTGTAGCACGGCGCTACAGTTTTAGGACGTACGGATGGTACAAAAAGGCGACGATGCATTATATGGTTGGCTTTTAACAAATTTACCACGGATTTAACAATTGAACGATTTAAAACGGTCGAATTAAATGACGTACATTTATCGCTTTACAACATTAGACAGTGGGATAGAACTCAATCGTCTTAATGGCCTGCCTGACCTCCGATTCCGTGAAGTTCGTCACGGGTATTACGTATCTTGAAAAGTGACATTATGTTGATTTTTTTTGACACTATATTGGTTTTTCGTGACATTACGTAGGTTCTTATACAAGATGTTAACTTAGCACTAGCTGATGGACACGTTGTGAATCCGTTTTGTAGTTTTACGTGTTGCCTAAACGTCATGAGGCTTTAGTTATCAATGTTTGGCTCTGATTTAATCTGCTTCAGAGATGGGATTACTGGAGGTAACGGCAATGCATAGATGGATTTGTGTGCTAATAATTATAAGTGTTGATGATAATTCCATTGGATTCTTGTCTTAAACACACTTTCTTGAGATTCAAAGCTAGAAATCAGTTGCGCATCCCATTTTTCTTATCCATTCTGGAAACTACATCGAATTACTTAATTAGCTGAGTTTCAAAAATGAGAGGGCTAAGAAATAATTATAAACACTGTACACTGTCGAATTACAAGTCATATACATGTTAACAGTAATTACAAACAACGTGGGCGCGGTGGCGATTTCCCGTAATTCTCCACAAAGTTTGTGGAAACAAAAAAACGTAAAAAATCGTGACTGATAACTTTGAACATAACCTGTCTTCAGAAAAGACTACATATAAATAACCCGAAGGGCACAGCTAACAGATGTACTTTATTGGCAGCATATTCAGTAATGATTTTCTCACACAGCAAAAATCACTGATTTTATACACCAATACACACAATCATCCAGATGCGATCTTGCTATTCAACCAAATAACCAACTTTCTTGTATATTTATATATATATATATACATATATATATATAGGTGAAAAATTAAAGCTTCCGCCTTTTGTTGGGTACTTCGACAAAATTTAAGCAAAGAGGAAAAATTAATTTTAATCTGTCTTTAACTTGTCTTGTCATATTTTATATAATTTTAACCATTGTACCATGTATCCAGCTCTCACCATGTTACTGGACGTTTCCCTCATCCTATACGAAAGCAACAATTAGCAACATCCTCACATACTACTCTCCTGATGATGATGGCAAAGTCCATTGAAAGCTAGAGAGAATTAAAAAAAGTATAAAGAGTCCTGTTTGCTTAAATTTTGTCGAAGTACCCAACAAAAGGAGGAAGCTTTAATTTTTCACCTAACTGTTTTAGACGACAATGACCACGTCTCAAGTTATATATATATATTACAGGGTGGCCCATCCATGTGTGGACGGAATATTACTCATAAACAAATACATTTTTGGAAAAATCTATCTATGGGATGTTATACATGACGTATGAGGGCACATTTCTAAAATATTGGTCATTATACAGGGTGTGCCAATTTCGCGCTACATATCAAAGTTGTGATTTTTCAAATGGAATGCCTCAAATTTTATTGCATATTTGGATAAACCAATTCAAAAGAAGAAAATTGATATAACATACTATGTGGTTTTGGTAATTAGCTACTGGGATACAAGGTATTCTGTCTAGAAAATACCCGCAATTCGGCAATTCGGGTTGCCGAGGTGGACGGTTTTTCTGGGCAAAACACCTTAATCTAAGTAGCTAATTACCAAAACCCTATAGTATGTTATATAAATCTTCTTCTTTTGAATTGATTTATCCAAATATGCAATTAAATTTGAGGCATTCCATTAAAAAAAATCACAACTTTGATATGTAAGCTAAAATTGGGACACCCTGTAAAATTGCCAATATTTTAGAAATGTGCCCTCAAATGTCACGTATTATATGCCATAAATAGATTTTCCCAAAATATATTTGTTTATGAGTTATATTCCGTCGACACATGGATGGGCTACCCTGTATATGTACATTCCACAAAAAACGATCGGTCTTTTTATTTCAGATTCAAAGAAGGAAGCTAAGTTTATCAAGGAGCTTATAGCAAACATTTTGGGCAACGTGCGCCATCTGCCCACTCCCGATGATAACTTGAAAGAATCAACGGGATCTCGCGAATAAATCTCTAGTGTAGATACATACTCTATGTGAACTGAAGTATTACAGTTTCTATTTTTCAGGTACGATTTTTCAAATTTTTTATTAGTTTGTTCATTTTAATGGTTCGTAACAAATCTTACATTTTCTTATCCAAGACCAATTGGTAGATCTGTTATAGACATCATGGAGGGTAATGAGCTACTAATTATTGTGTTGCGCCTCTCGCCTGGTTTATATACTTTTCTTGGAGTCGCCCAATTAAAAAGGGTCTGGAGGACGGCGCCGCAGTGTCGGGATGACTTACATTAGGGACGTATGGATGGCACAGGAAGGCGACGAAGGATTATTAACTTACCACTGTCTTTACGATTCGTACATAATGGTCGGATTAAATGATACGCGGACAACATGATAAACATCCTTTTCAATTTGCATTGCCAAAATTCCGAGAGAACGAATTTATGCGAAAAATTGAGAATTAAGAAACAAAACAAAAATTAATCAGTGTTTGGTTCTGAATGCGATCCAGTCTTACTAGAGTCAATCCATATTAGGACATACTTTTATACAAGGATATCACCTGTTGACAGGATGTTCACTTCGAACAGACGTCAAAATCTGATGAAATATCGTGAAACATAGATTACCGCTTGCACATCGGGATCTATCATCGAATAACACCGAACCTGCTCCAACGCCCGTTATTGCACAGAGAAACAAGTAAATTCTTGCCTTATAGTCTAATCATATTAGACGAAAATACCTCTGGTTTGCGAAATAATTGTAAAGTCTGGTTTTATTGCTGCAACTTGTTCAAGGGGGTATTCAAAACATGCACGCATAAAATGGGTACACCAATTTTTGTGGGAAAACTTTTTATTCGACAACAAAGAATGAGAAAACGCGTTTTTTGGGATTCAATCGAAACTGTTGGCAGGAACGAAAAAACTCTTCATTTAAGATTTTTAGGTATTTATGAGACCTACAAAATGAGAGTACACGTGTAAAGTTCCGACTAATAGAAAAAATGTTATGACCGAAAATCGAGGCAAAATGCAGGTTTTGGCACTTGTTGGTAATGCGACGATGGTTTCTCGCAGATATTTGAAAGTCTTCAAATTCCTAGGATTCGTACTTCTAAATAACCACAACAAAATTGGAGTAGATTGGTGAAGTAGTTTTTAAGAATCTCTAATTGTTTATCCCGAAACACCTGTTTTCCGACCATCACTAGCTTACTGAGCAATTACAGGGTCAGTTCAAAGGGCAAATACACTAGTTTATCTTGCCGATATGAATCGAAAACCATTCCGGAAGATAAATGTTACTTTTATGTAAAATAGGATGGATTACGTTTTTCTTTCTAAACAGTTTCAAACATTTGGTATTTGTGAGTAATTCGCAACAAAAGATATTAGACACGTCCGCTTTGTTTTAAAATGTGTATAGTAACGCATGTCTTTTGAATATCGTAGCGCATTTCTTCAATTACTCACAAATACGAAATGTTTGAATTTGTTTAGAAGAAAAATCGTAACTTTTGTTTTTCGCATAAAAATAAAGGCGGATCCAGACTATGTAACAAAACATGTTGCACAGCAATGTTGTAAAACAAATTTGTTATCGACTTTGTTGTGTAACATGTCATTTAACTTTTGTTATTTCGAAGGAGCATCCAGACCATATAACAAAATGTTATAACAAACTTCACAAATTTTGGCAGATCAGTATCGAAAATGGCATCAACGGTAGAGGATGTTGTAATGGCGGCAGCTTGCATTATTTTGTGTAAAAAACGTGAATTCAAGCGAAGATTCTGGGTACGACCGTCGTTAAAAGCGCGAACGAAATATAGTGGTACGGCCCTCTTAACAGACCTTGCAAGAGATGACGTAGATCCATTAACTGGAGAAATTCGATGTGACGGTAGTTTTAAAAACTTCGCCAGAATGAAAAGTGATGATTTTGAATATCTGATAAATCAAATAGGCCATAAAATAGGCAAAAAGACGACACCATTTAGAGATCCAATTCCTGTACGAGAAGGGTTGTCCGTTACACTCAGATTTTTGGCAAGCGGAGATTCTTACCGAAATTTGTGTTATATATTCAAATTTTCGACTCAAAGTATATATGTGATTACGCCAGAAGTTTGTGACGCGCTCATTGCCTGTTTGAATGACAAAATAAACGTAAGTCTGATTTTTTTTATTTTTATTTAATCATATTCAATGAAATCCTTAAAAAGCATTTATAATTTCATTAACTAAACTAAAAGTTATGTCTTCCTCACTAGTATCTTCAGTACATGACTGATTGTCGATTGAACATGAAGTAGGGCAGGGTGTAGATGGAGCAGACCATGTTGGTGTGGTGGATGATATGGATGGCCCAGGTGTATTTTCTGACATGTCTGCGTTTTCTGCTTGATAGAGAATGTTATTAATTTGAAATTTCGTAGAGGCCACAATTGATTTGTTTTGAAGATTGCGTAATGTGTTCGCTACATATTCCCCATAAACATCGAAGTTATCGCGCTTTTTTATGTTGCTTGACAGGTGTTTCATCACCGCGTAAGCTTCATCAGATCTCGTATCCATTTTTCTTTTCATCCCTTTTGTTGCAGACGTACGTGCAACTTTTTTTTCACATTTTTTTTCCTGGCATTGTAATTGTGATTGTTTATCATCCTAAAAGATAAAATTAAGACCTCATTTCAATTATACAATATTAACATAAAATAAAATTTTATTGAAGTGAATATAATAATAAAGCACATTGTTTTTCAGATGCCTAAACGTCAGGAGGAATGGCTATAAGTTGCAAATGATTTCAACAGGATGTGGAATTATCCCCATTGTTGTGGGAGTATCGATGGAAAACCGATTTTTTAGCATCGTGCTTTTAGCTATAGTAGATGCTAAATACTCACGACATTACTCGAAACGTCATCCTTGAATCTACCGCCAATGGAAGTTTTACCCGGAAGATCGTCACCCACACCTTTTGCATTTTTGGCTGATGAGGCATTCCCTTTACAGCAGCATATTATGACACCTTTCCCAGGGACTGAAGACAAAGGTTCACCAGGACGCATTTACAATTACAGACACAGCAGAGCAAGTCGCGTTGTAGGGTGTTAAGAAAACCAATACTTCTTAACCCTGAAAAAGCTGAAAAGGTCGTTTTAGCATGCTGCTTTCTGCACATTTTTTTGCGGAAAGGCCAGTCCTCTGCATCTTATTGTCCACCGAGAACTTTTGATTCATATGACATGCTCACAGGAGAACTAATATCTGGCACATGGAGAGTCGTAGGGCGGCCAAGTGATACTCTCCTGAGACTTAAAATGATCCTTAGGAAGCCTAGTGAGATAAGCAAAGAAATTCGAGAAGGATTTTCTTATTTTTTTTTTGTAGTGAAGAGGGGAAATTACCGTGGGAGGATAATGACTAATAATTTAATTAATTGATTTTAATTATTCTTACCTGATATATGGTATGTTGTGATTGGGTCTCTTGGCTGGAGGCCACACCACCTTCACGAAAATGACGTGGCTCATTTTAGAAATAAAAGCAGTTTAGAAAACATCCACTTTGTTTTATAAAACGCATCAGCACCATCTCCACTTTCCCATTTCTTCAATTCGCGCTGAAACTATCCAATAAGCATACGCATTTTTTTTTCTACTTCGGTTCTGTCTGTTTTTAATTCTTTGCCTAATTCAGTCCATGCGTCGTGTTTTTTATCTCTATTTTTATATTCCATATGGGTAGGATCCCATAAAATGTATTTTTCACGGAATAATTCATTCAAATGAGTGGTGAATTCTTTCGACCATTCCATAGCGTAAATACTATATATTCACTTTTATAACTTGCAAAACCATGCACCCTGCTGTGTCGACGGCTTTATTTAAACTAAATACCGAACCCAGAGTGGATATTTAAATAACTTATTTTCCAGTTTGGACGAGTCGAGACGCGTTTTATAACAAAGTTCCTCAACTTTCTTTGATCTTTACCGACATCGAATGGATCACATATAACCTGCTATACAACACAATAATTTTTGCACAACACTGTGTTATATAACATTTTGTTTTTGCATTTCTCTAACAAGTTACAAAACTTTGCTAGATAAAATGTTTTGTTACATAGTCTGGATGCGCCTTAACATTTATCTTTCGGAATGGTTTGTGGTTCATATCGGCAAGGTAAACACGTGTATTTTGCTATTAAATGCTCTTTGAACAAACCCTGTGTATTGCTCAATAAACTAGTAGTGATGGCCGGAAAACAGGTGTTTTGGGATAAACAATTAAAAACTCTAAAAAAACTGCTTGACCAATGTGATCCAATTTTGTTTTGTTATTTAGAAGTATGAATCCTATGGATTTGGAGAAATTATCGTCGCATTACTAACAAGTCCCAAAACCTGCATTTTGCCTGGTTTTTCGGCCATATCATTTTTGTTATTAGTCGTGTGGTCTCATTTTGTAGGTCTCATTTTGTAGGTCTCATAACTACCTAAAAACCTTATATGAGAAGTTGTTTCGTTCCTGTAAATGCTTTCGATTGATGTCCAAAAAACACGTTTACTCGTTCTTTGTTGTCGAATAAAAAGTTTTCCCGCGAAAATTGGTGTACCCATTTTGTGCGTCCATGTTTTAAATACCCCCTTGAGCAACTTGCAGCAATAAAACCAGATCTTAAAATTATTTCGGGTAAATTTGGTAATATGATTAGACTATTAGGCATCCCGCGCCTTTGATGGTCTGAATGAATTTATTATATTTAATTCTCGATGGGATGTTTCAATAAAACGTAAGAAAGGGGGGTGGTTCTTTGATCCCTTGAGGGTCTTGAATATTAGCTTATTCAACTAAAGAGGCATTAATAAGTTTGTCGAATAATTTAACCTGGAATTTCTGCTTGCTAATAAAATGCGAGTTGCATTCCTCCATAGGTGGCGCTGACAGCATATGACTTGACCGTTATCGTTTTTTTAATACCTGTGATATATTAGCTTTTGATATCAGTGATTTAACATCGTGACGTCATCGGACTTTCGGATAACGATTATATTATGGATATTCTGATATCCTGGGCAAAACACCGCCATGAAATCGTATAGAGCTACTACTAAAGCCTATAAGGCACGGTATCGCTTGCAGGCCATAGTAGTCTTACGGTGGTAAACAATTTTTCACCTGCCCGGTAGGTACTGAAATCCTTTCTTGAAGGAAGTTTCGGATCAAAATTGACAACTTTTGCCAACAACACGACCAGTTCGGGCCGTTGTTCTTCAGGGCTCGGTTCTAGGACCAATCCTTTATTCGCTTTTCATCCATGATGTCCCAGCAGCTGTGAAGTCTGCCTCTATGCTGACGACACTGCACTTGTCGCCCAGTCGTGCACTGGTGATCTGGTTCACGATGGGTTGCAGAGTGCGGTAGACAAAGTACTAGAGTGGGCGGAACGGTGGCTGATTAAAATTAATCACTCGAAAACGCAGGCCATTTATTGTACCAAAAAACGTTGCGCCCCCCCAGCAGAGGTTTCTGTAGATGGCAGTCGTGTACCATGACAAATTCTGACAAGTACCTCAGTGTCACCGTTGATAAAGGCATAACCTGGCAGAAACGTACAGCAGCCTTGAAAACGAAATTCCAAATTGCGTTTCGGCAACTGTATCTTTTGTTATGTAGATCCTCCAAATTGAGTCTGATAATCAAAGTTCGCCTATATAAAATGATTATCAGACCAGCCATTACTTATGCATGTGCCGCTTGGTGCTTTCTTGCCAAGACACACATGCAAAGTCTTCAAGTACTGCAAACCAGAACATTCGAACAATTTGCAACGCTTCATGATAGGTCTGAAACGAGACACTACACAGATACCTTGACATTCCTTACTTGAGGGATTATGTCAAGCTTCAGGCGCAGCGACGTTATAGTCAAGCGGAATCGCACAGCAACCGTCTGTTGCGTGACTCAGTGGACTACACAGTGGAGCTAGTTCGTAAACATTCAAGGCCACGGCTCACACTGTAACCAAACCGAATCAAAATTTGTTTAGTCCACCTCAAAATTAATCCGTGTACCAAGTCAAAGAGCCTAGATGTTTCCTCTTAATTAAACACTTCTGTTTCTCTTTGCTCTTCTCCTTTTTTCTTCTCTTTCCCTTTCTCTTTTTCCTTGACATTGTCTGATTTCTGGGCAACCAGGACTGACAGGTTCAACTAACGTACATTAGACAGTGACTAATGGGCGAAGGTCCTACGGACCTCCCAGACAAACAAATAACGAATAGTAACTCAAATGTCAGCTGTCGCGTTAGAAAAAAAAACTGTTATGTCAATTATCATCGTTGGGAATGACGATTAAGCCTAACCACACTCTTTAGTCAACTATGCACACTGATTGAAGGTGACGTCAACGGGTGTCTCCGAAGACACAGGTCTTACAATGTACTCTTACTTACAGTTGTTGATGATTACAATTAAATAACGGGGACCAAATGTTCACCTCTAGTTTGTGTCTAGAACCAGAGGAACAAAATAAAACAATAGCTAACATAATGATACCATGTGAGTACATTAAATATTTTTAGACAGCTGTCGGTTGCAATGAAGAAAGTATATGCGGACCTGTAACACGTTCTCGACCTTAGCTGCTAGCGCGCATGCGCATCTCATGCACATTCAAACGTTAACACCACGATCTCAAGATGACATTCATCGTTGCCGAGAAGCACCTAATTCCACAAGTCGTGATCACATCAGGCTATTTCACGATGTTTGGTAATAGTCGTGATTAGTTATTTAGAACTATCAGTTACCGCATCATAGCTCGGAAAATATCGGCCACCACTAACGTGTGGTCTGTGTGCTAATTTTCTAACCGCAATTGTCAGACTAGAAAGAATTTGGTTGGTCTGTAACATGACTCTACTATTCGTATTCTGTATTCTTTGTTTAAAACGTTGCATACTAACATCGGATATGTATTAAATATTGATTTTAATATGTAATTAAATCTAAATTGAATTGGTTGCATTCAAACTGCAATTTACTGAAAGGGCATCATATATCCCTGCTAGAGTGTCAGCTGAAATATTTGATGGGAATTTAGCGATGCTTGGTATGGACGTATATTGCCAATAAAATGTGCTGACAAAAAAGAATCCGAATATCCAGAGAGCCTGTATCAATTTCGATGAAATGTATACACACTATATTTAAATAAAAAACATGGATCGTAAAGTATTACCGGTCAAATTTGAATTCAATTGGATTGGGTGCAAATATCGGAGTACGGTAAAACCGTAATAAACACATGAAAAAAATACATTTTTAAAACAATTCAGAAATATTTTTTTGATTGGAAATACGTATTTTCATACTTCTTAAACTTTAACTGATACTGAAGCTCATTCAAAAAGGCTGAACACACTTTCACTTGAAAGCTGAGACGTATGAAACGGCATATTTCCAATCGAAAAAAAATATTTCCAAATTTTTACTTAGTTTCAACAGATAAACAAATGCTTGTCTTCAAAATGTATTTTTTACTTTTATTTATTTCAACTTTTCA